TGAAAGAAAGAAAGAAAGAAAGAAAGAAAGAAAGAAAGAAAGAAAGAAAGAAAGAAAGAAAGAAAGAAAGAAAGAAAGAAAGAAAGAAAGAAAGGAAATTAGGAGAAGAATCTTAGACATTTATACAGTGTACAGAGATACACAGCTGCTAGGCAACATTTTGCTCAGAGTGATTTTTCTCCTCCGACTAGATGTCAATCCACCCTAAGTATCCATGTCCTTTTCTAGACTGAAAAGACATGAGCAAATGCACACTCCTCTTTGTGGATGAGTGGTGACCAAGTCACCTGGTAGACTTCCAAGCAGCCAGGCAGGAGGGCAGCCAGGTGCAAGCCTTCTGTGGGTCGAGCAGTCTGCTCACTGGAAAAATCCAGCCATCTGCCCTCTGTCCAACACAGCCCCCTGATCCTTATGTGCAAACAGAATGTTCCTTAGCCCAAGAAGGCATATGAAACCACTAGACTTACTCTACAAACTCACAAATCTCAAGGCACTCTGCTCAAAATGTCGCAAACTCCTGTATAGGGATATTTATACTCTGCTCATCACAAAAATAACTCAAACAAGAGAATTTGAAATATTTCCTGTATCTTGCCCAAGAAAAAATTTTAGGCCAAAAAATAATAATAACAATTCTGAAGAATTCTCCTTCAGTAAATATCCCCACTAAGCACAATGAGAGACCCCAATAGCTTGAATATCTACATAACAGTTACAGGCCCATAGCCCTGTGGTTTTCTAAAATTCTGCGTAGGAAATTACACAGGCAGATGTGTAAAGTATAAGACAAGCTCTTGAGGTGTCACCACCTCAAGAATGGAGACACTTTAGCTAACAGGTGAAATCATTCACTGCATCATAGGAGTACTGAGAAAGGAATATGTTCCTCTGTCAGAAAGGTAAATCTAAGTGAGTTGGCCATAGGAGGATAGAGAATTCAGAATCTTCTTTTGTGACATGGGAAATGCCTGCATTCTGAGGACCCTGGCATTTTTTTCCTTATAATTTTATTGTGAAAATTTCCAAAATTACAGGCTTGTTGAAATAATTACATAACAAACTCCTAAATCAGAAAGCTTATCAAAGTTATCTTAACATTCTACTATACTCATTCATGTAGCATCCCTCTTGTCTATTGAAAGTAAATTATTGCAGATATGTTCATTCCCCCCTAAATACTTCAAAATTCATAACTAATGAATGAAAGTTCAGTAATTTTTAAATGTTTTTATTATTGTATTATACATATGCATATTAGTAAGGTTCATTTTGACATAATTATATACCTATGGAATATAACTTGTGGAGGGTACTTTTGTTTATCAAGATACATGGTAATAATTACAGATAATATTTAATGAGTATTTATTCTATGCCAGACAAAATACTAAATACGTAAAAATATCTCATTTGTTCCCACCAATAATCCAAGGCATAAGTGCATTTATTATTCATATTTTTTAGATTTGATTATTATTATTTTTCAAAGGTATTGTAGCCTGCAATGCATAACACAAAATACGGCTATAGATAAGTTTTAAGATAAGTTCTGACATAGGGATATATTTAGAAATATCTAAGCCTAGCAAGAAACCTACAGAAATTTTTCAATTCTTAGACACTAGAAGTTACTAAGACAGAAACAGAAATCTTTGTAAGGCTCAACAGTTCTGATATTCTTTATATTTCTTTATCTTTTTTGTGCATTGATTTCCTTTTTGTTTTCCTATGAATTTTTGTCTGCCTTAAATTAGGCAAGAGAAACCAAGAAAGGTATTGATATAACTTTAGCTCTAAGGGTTAGAGTAAACAGGTTCTTATAAATGTAACCACGGTTATATCCAAAAACGACCCTTTAGGAAGCAAAGTTTATGGGTGGGATAATATAGTGAGTCATTTTATAGGCCCCCTTTCACTATCTAGGTATCCTTTTTGCAAAAGTCTTGACTATGTTTTCGTTTAACAAAATATCGCATTTGGTTTCTTTCACCAAGCTGGGAAGAAAGTTACAATGGAGACATCACTTGCCCTAGATTTCCTTCTGCTGTGACTTCCACACTTTCTGTCTGCCCTTTAAAGGAGAGACATTATCTCATGATCTTGGAGAGGAAGCCCAAAGAGAATCTATTGCCATAAAACATCACCCAGCAGTCTTATCACATCACCTGACAGTATCACTTTAGTTAACGCTGAGTTAGTGTTTCTATTATAAACCCAATTTACTGAAGGGGGGAAGGGCACGAAGGACACATGGACTCATAAGTCAACTGTGCAAAATGATATGAGGCTGAAAGCAGGTTGCCAAATGGGTAGAACCTTTAAACCATGACATTGAAGGGAAAAAGAATTCCTGCTCCCTACTTACATTGTTTAAAATAGGGCTGCATAAACATTATCTTAGAGATTTCTGCAGTGCCAGCGGGCTTGCTTAATAATCTCCTTCCTCTCTCTGGCTGATGAGAGGGGGTTCATTATACAAACAAAGGGAAGAAGAGGTAGAGCAAGACATAATAACAAGGGAGATAAACTAGGGACCATAAAAACCAAGTCCAATCCTGATTCTGCCATTGATTAGCCACATCATGGCCAAGTCAGTTCACAATTTACATAAGGAGTCTGGGTCTTTTCACTCCATAAAATAGAGCCAATTACTTCACCAATGCTACCCACCAGGTCTTGTGAAGTTCAAATGAGGTGAGTCTCGGAGTGCACACTGAAGCTCAGGAACCACAGTTCAAAGAATGAAGGCCATCATGGCTCTCACCAGGGAAAAGTGATCTCCTATCATTTAGCCTTGGCCCCAGCCACCCATGGTATTGAGACTAGCTCAACACCTGTCACTGTGCTCAGATATCACCCTGAGCCTATTTGACCCTCTGCTGACTGTGCCCTCTGTTTATCAGTGGGAGAATTTTCCCAGCATGTCAGGGAGAGAGCCAGAGATTATACAGGTAGAGCTCTGTGGATGAACAGGCCCTTTGAAGACATTCCAGTGCTTCCAGACTACAAGGGTACCCCAAGTTTTGCTTAAATGTGTTATATCACACATACGTAAAAATTATAAATTTATATTCACATATTTTATATATGTGATTTTACAGATTTTTATATGTAAGTACAAACATTTACATATACTTTCAAGTATTTACAAAATTGTATATAATTTAGATGTATAATCAGATATGTAACTTTTCTCTCTCTCTCTCTCTCTCTCTCTCTCTCTCTCACACACACACACACACACACAAACACACACACACACAAACACACACACACTGGCCCTACCAATTCATCAGAAGATTTGGGTTTTATATGTGAGAAAATATGATTTTGTAAATAATTTCTACCTGCCCATTTATGAGCTAGACATGTAATCAGTTGCAGAAAAGAAATGTAGAAATGTCTTGAGAATAGAATTCAAGAAAATTAATCAAAATATCACAGAGATCAGGAATTTTGATTAGCGTCAAACATATATTTGAACAACAGTTGCTCAATTGTTTGAGGAAAAATTCTATCTTCGATTGAATTTCCTGCACAACTCTTTTGGGTATTATTTTAACATCCTATGTTATTTTAAGGGCATTATAAAGATTTGTGCATGAACAAGAGGTGAATATCAGCTTGGGATTCCACACTCTTTGGGAGATGTTTCATATGTAAATTTCAATCGAAAAGTAAGGGTATGGCAGAAGCGAAGGAAAATATAAAGACAAAACAAATTATGGACTAGGAACACAGACACTGATGGTGTAAATGCCTATGTAGGAAAACAGCCTTGATTAACAACAAGGACTTAACCCTGGAAGGAGAAACTTCCTTTCTTGGTTGATGGTAGCAAAAGGGACAGACAGGAAATTTGGGAATTTTTGGTATATTTACAGTATCCTCTTACATAAAGCTAATGCTGATCATTCAGTCAGGGTCAAAGGCCTCTCCTAGTGACCCTCAGTGATGGAGGTGGCACTACACAGATGGTCAAGGTGGGGTTTTGGGGGCAGGCTGATCTAGGTCTGCAACCTGGTCTTGCACTTATCATCTCTGTGATTTTGGACAGTGACTTAACCTCTCTAAGCTATGGGTCTCTTAACTGTAAAATGGAGCAATGATATAACCAATATTCTCAGGATTCAATACAGGACATTACCCTATGGGGTAATGCATGCATTAAATACATGCGTAATTCTCAGGATTTAAATACAGCAAAGCATAAAAGAGCCCAGCCAAGGGCTTTTACCTTGTGTAGGTTGGTCCTGTGGGCTGCTGTCATCATCCTCAGAGAAGCACCAGGGGCAACTGACCACTATAGTTTGAGGCTCCTCAGGAAGTGTACCCACTGGGACATTGTGGTGCAGGAATTCCAGTTGAGCCTGAAACGGTGAATGGAGCTTAGTGAACACAACCCAAAGTGTCGAACTACAAATGTTCTGTGTTCTCAGTTTCTAGGACCTGAGAAATAAGACTGTGGTTTACAATTAGGACTCAGGAAGAGATCTGAAGGGAAGCTGCTAGGAATAGGTGATTGCATCCTTCTGTTTTCCTTGTTGTTATGACATGTGTTACACTTGAGTCTCTCCCACATCAGTCCTGGGTTCCTGGGCTTCAAAAATGGAATGCATTCTAGAAAAGAGCCAAGTGCTTCTTCTGAAGCTTGGTGGCTGGAACTAGTCAGTCATTTAAACTTCTTTTTTGTCGTTGTTGTTTTTTTGTTTTTTGTCCTGGGGGATTGAACCCAGGGACACTGAGCTATATACTTAGTTCTTTTAATTTTTTTATTTTGAGACAGGATCTTGATAAGTTGCTGAGGCCGTCATAGAATTTGAGATCTTCCTGCCTCTCCCAAATCCTCTGGAATTATAGGCATGCAGAACCATGCCTATAATGGCTTCACTTAAATTTTTTAAAATATTTTGTTTTAGTTGGACACAATACCTTTATTTTATTCTTATGTGGTGCTGAGGATGGAACCCAGTGTCCTGCACATGCTAAGCAAGAACTCTACCACTGAGCCACAACCCCAACCCCTTCACTTAAACTTTTAAGCTATCATTTTCCTCACCTATAAAATGGGAGTAAAAATCATAAAAATAATTTTAAAAGGAGAAATCAGGAGGCTCAAAAGAGAAATATTATGTGAAGGTAGTACTTGGCCAGCTTTTAGTGCTACAGATATTTTGTGTTCTTACTGCTGTTACCTGAGTACCACATAGGTTTTTTGTTTTGTTTTTGTTTGTTTTTGCACTAAGTATTAAACCCAGGAGTGCTCTACCATTAAGCTACATCCCCAGCCTTTTTAAATTTTTTGAGGCAGGATATTACTAAATTGCCCACCCTGGCCTTGAACTTGTGATCCCCTCCCCTTAGCCTCCCTAGTTGCTAGGATTACAGGCATGCACCACTGCATCCATGCCAGGCAATTTTATGAGGTCAGTTCTCCAACCTCATAATAAATACTTTCTTGAAAAATTCTTGGCCAGGTACAGTGGTGCATGCCTGTAATCCTAGCAGCTTGGGAGGCTAAGACAGAAGGTCACAAGTTCAAGGCTAGCTTCAGCAAACTGGTGTGGCCCTAAGCAACTTAGTGAGACCCTGTCTCAAAATATAAAATAAAGAAGGCTGGGGATGTGGCTCAGTGGTAAATTGCCCCTGAATTAAATCCCCAGTACCCAAACAAAACAAAACAAAACTCATCCTCTACTTCACCAAGGTCAACTGAGATGTGCTAGAACTTTTGTAGTTCTACACTGCATCAAGTTTTCACCTTTCCTAGAGGGATAAGTACACCCCTCTCCACTATCCAAAGAGTGCCCTTGACTCAAATCCTAGCTCTTCACTCATAGGAAGTGTCATTTTGCCAGCATACAAAGAATTTCAAACAAAATCAATGTCATGATACTAAGGATTAGAGTAAATTTGTATTATTTATTTGTATTATTTATAATTTATTATTATAAGTTATATGCCGATGCAGGTATAGATATAGGTATCTCCACTGCCCTTTAGGAACACAGCATCTGTACTCAATTCCCACTACTTCTCCTCTTTCCAGAAATCATCAATAGTATCCTAGTTCCACTGTGTGTAAAGGTTTTAAAATTACAAATGAGGAAAATTGTTTTCAAATTTAAAAAAAGAGGCATACATAGTCTCTCAATAAATTATGGTAGATTATTTCACTCCTAAGAGAGAAGGAGTCTCTGTTTTGGAGAGTATAAGCAAGGCAGAAAGAAATAAAAGACTGTCAGAATGAGAAAATTGGCTTATCATTGGATGTGCCAACTCGAGGTAGAAAGAAAAAGGTTATAAAGAGAAAATCTGGTTGTGACACTTTCAACAAAACCATGTCAAAGTTCAGAGAAAGGGAAAAGCATTATCAAGAAGAATTTTACTATCTTTCAAGGTAACTATTAGTCAAAAAGGTAATAAATAAGAATGCATCCAACGGTATATGTGTGAGAAAGACAAGCGAGAATAAAATGTAGGATAGAAGCAGCTGACTTGTCTAAACAACATTTTAAAATATATACATGTATCATTTCTCACAATCTCATATTGCTACAAGACAAAATATTCTAACAGAATAAAACAACACAATAACTTTAAAATTGCCAGACATACAGATACACAGAAAAGTTTTAAAGCTTGCATGGTGACATTAAAGAGTTTTAAACTGTAATTGTAATATAACTTCAAGATTCTGCTTTGAAACAGAGATAGTACAGGAACATCTGCTCTTGGAGATGCACCACAGTGAAGTGGGACCAGTTGTACAAGTTGCTATTTGTCTTTGAATATCTATTCTCTTCTCCCCAGTAAAATGAATTTTTTGACTGGTCAAGTGACTACATAAATGAAGGATAATCCTTCTAAGATCTCTTAGAGTCAGTACTAAGTTCTTGGCAATAGCATACCAGGGAAAATTATATGGGCCATTTCTGAGCTAAGCCCTTAAAAGGAAAGCATGTCAACTTCTGGCCCCTTTTCTGACTTTCTTATAGCTGAATGTGGACAAGGTGTTGTAGGCCATCTTAGTCTGTGTGAAAAGGATAATCCCCTAGAGATATAGAAGGACAAATTAGAAGGCACCTAGACCTCTGATCATTCAGCTTGTCAACTTGAACTTGTATATGGGAATAGGAAAATGAACTCGAGTTCGCAGCTGCAAACAATTAATTCCCAGCATGCTGCCAGCTGTTTACCTTAAGACGGGAATCTGCCATCTTCTCAGATGTAATCCAGGAGAATAGAGGAATCAATGTATTGAAGGCAGCTGTCAATCAAAGGGAATGGAATTGGAAGATGAACATCCAGTCTCCCCATCCGTCACTGAAGAATTTTAAGTATTTCCTCATGGCTTTTCTGATTCCTCCAATCCATCTGGATCAGCTGCCCCCTATTTACATTAACACAGGCTTTCTTCACTTTCCTCCTTTACCTGTCTTACTTTCACATTTTGTTTCCCTTCTACTTCCTCTGATCTCCCACAGACAAACCTCATCGCTGAGTCTCTGTTTCAGAATTTGCCTTAAGTGGAAACCAAACCAAATGATCCTGTTTTCTTGCTTCCCTCACTCCAAGGACCTCCAAAGGCAGTTATTAAAAGAGTAATAATTGACAAAAATGACAAAATCTCAATATTGTTTGTAGGAAATTTCTCAACTTTTATTACATGGATCCTACTAGATTACTACAATATGCAAGAATTTGGGGCAAAATATTGCTCACTATATTAAAATATTATAGTAAAACTTTCTGTTGTAAGAAACAAATATCCCCAATACATAATGATCTATTTAATAAAAATATTTGGGCTCCAAATTGAATTTTGATCATCCAATAAACTAAGCACATATACAATGCTTTTTCAAGGTTTTCATACACTTTCATAAAACTGTACAAATTATCTAATGAGGTTACCTCTCTTCAATTTCTTCCAAATCAGGAAAGAATAAAGAAATGACTTCCTCTATTTTCCTGAACTTACTATTGAAATACCTTTAGACAAAACCAATTCTTAGCCTTGGTTTCCCTGCACTCAAAGGAATTTCTTGTATATATACTTAACCATGCTTTGCATTAATAGCATAGTTTACTGGTGGGTGTTAGCATTTTGATTTTTTGACTCTTAGTAAAGACATAATTCTTATTAATAAGGGAATCCAACAAGTATAAAAATGAAGGAAAGAATAGTTTCAAGCTATTCATTTCTAAAATGTTTCACTCATATTGTTATTTTATGCTCTTAATTCACAGATCTGATTCACCCTTGACTCTAAGAACTATAAATTATTGAAAACATAACTGTCACATTACAGAGGCAGAATTTTTTTCATGTATCATCTTTACAGTTAGATAAAAGATGTACAAACACTAACCTTATTGTGACATTATGTTGTGTGCAGTAAACTTCATGATAACAACTGTTTTTTAAAAAATAGAGCCTTCTAAAGCATGTAGATGCAGAAAATTCAACCCCACTAACTCCAGTAGGTCTTACTGCTTTGATATGCAAGGTTCTTGCCATAAAGCAATGAATTACTAACCAGTACATTCAAATTCCTACTTTGACTCTGTGATAGCATGACCCCTTCAAAGAGAGATACATTTGATAACCACATTGCATTAAGTAGGTCCAGGCATAGATCAATCTTAAAAAATGCTCATAATTTCGAACATATTAAGCCAGGGCATGATCTTTGGTGTCATATTATTTTTGTTTTCTAGAACTAAAAAATTAGAACATCATTTTTCTCAATAACTGTACCCAGCGTGGGATAAATTTTACTAGCATGTGCATACAATTGAGGTTGCACTCACACTAGTGCTGAATTATAAACACTTGAAGATCCACCTCTCAGTCAAGACCTTAGCACCCTCTGGGTCACCTTTGACAGGACTTAGGTGTGTATTTCCATTTGCGTTTTCCAACAGGCGCTGATACTTCCTGTAGGTACTCAGCTCCACCAAGAGAAGTCTCAGGGCTCTGTACCGTATTTGCCCAGTTTCTGCACCCAGCAGTATCTTGTGCCTTGGTCTGAAAAACCGATCCTACCTCAAAGTATCACCAGGGGTCCTTGAAAAATATCGCTGAGCACAGTCTCATAAGTCAATGCGGAAATCAGTTCCTTCAGCTTCTACCTCCCAGCATCCAGTCTGCTGTCAGCATGTTCCCCTGAACCTTTAGGGAAAAAACAAACCATTTCTCTTAAAGAGATTTAAATGCACAAGAAATACAATTCGGATTTTAAAATGTGAGTTTATCACAAGTGATACCACTTTAGTCCTTTAGAGCAACATCACTTATAACAGATTTCCTAGCTGCAATTCTTCACCATTCCCTATAGGGAGCTTTCCCAGATCAAAGGAACAGACTGCCCTAGACCCACAGCTTGCAGCACAGAACACATAATTCTCACAGTTTGAAATTACTTTGTTTTTAGACGTCTACCATCCTCATTAATATATTAAAAATAGTAAGGACAAGTTTCAAGGAACACTTGAGCTTAATAACCAATCTCTACATCCCACCCTTTCACACATTTCCAACTGATCAACTTGGAGTTCCATTTTGAAATACTGAGGTACACACTCACCACATCTTGCTTTGAGGATGGTGCTGCCTTTTATTAATCTGGCCATTTTCCCCTCAGGGAATCTAAGATCACTGCTAAAATAATACACATATAAAAAATGTTTTAAAAAAATGGCTGATGTCTTTATATGATTTCTCCCAAAAGTCTTTCTACTCCACCCACATGAGTTTAGGATTTCAATTTAGGTCCTTAGTTATAATTCATATCCAATTATGAAATATTCTAATAAATTATAAAATAATTTATATTGATATTATGATCTTTATATGGCTATTGTATAAATAACATATGCTAAGTATAAAAATTTAGACATTAAAGAGAATTGAAAATAATGTAATATCAAAATACAGTTAGCCACTAATTCATTTTGGCACATTGCAATGCTTCTCTATAAAACTTTCATACAGGGAAGATCTTAAAGTCTTACAATTTCCTAATCTTCTTTTCTCACCCCAAGTATATGATAAGAATCTAACTATGATTCCTGTTTCTCAAAGACTTTTTAAAATGACTCCATAGTAGTTCATCAATGAACTGAATATAGGTCATTTAAGTATTACCGTATTGTTAAACATTTAGATTTTCTTGGTTTGTGCTATTATAGAAAAATCTTATATTGCCTAAGTTTCTGTATAAATCTATATCAGTATTTCATATTATTTCCTCAGAATATATTCTGTGAAATGGAATTTGGGAACATGGACTGTTTGGTATAAATATATTGTCAAAGTTATTTTCAATAACTTCTAACAAATTAATATCCCCGTAAGTGTATGAGTGCTCATTTTACTATATCCTGATTAACTCTGAATACTATTATATTTAAAAAATATATCTCTATGTACAAAAGAAAAAAAATATCCCTGCTTCCATTTAAGATGGAGTGGCAAGGCCTGAATAGAACCTCTACCTAAAACAGCATCAGACAAAATAGATGGACCATGACAGAAGAACATTAGAGATCAGGTAGCAGAGGATGCTGATTCTTGAAAGATGGTGAACAAATGAGGTGAGTACTGTAATCACCTGTCTGCAGGAAGTATCTGGGTAGCATCCAAAGAGGGGAAGCCCAGGCAGATCTCAGAAAAGACATCCTGATTTGAGGATAAGGAGACAACTGTCTAGGAAGTCATGGAAACTAAGTTCACTAAGTTCACGAGGTAGAGTGCCACAGAGGCCCAAACTAAATAGAGAGAAAGTCCCAGAGGTCTGCATGTGGTTCCCTCAAGTTTTGAGCTGAGTACTAGTTAGATAATGCAAATGAGGAAAAGCCAGGGACGGAACCAGCCAAGGTAAGTGGAGGGACAGTGCTCAGGTCAAAACACAGAGCTGGAATACTGCTTACTGCCAATAGCCAGAATGGGACACCTCATATTTGGGTATCCATCTGTTAGAGTACTGAGAAGAGTCATGGATCAGTAATGTGGAAAATTGACCTTAAACTAAATGCAGTTTTAGTCCCATCTCACCCAGCAAAGCTTAAATGCAAGCCCTGAAAGTCTCAAACTGTTTCCAAGAAGTCTGATCACATCCCAAAACAAAAGGTCAACAATAATTGTAGAAATAGAAAATGAGTAACACCTAGTAGGGCAAAATTCACAATGTCTGGTAATCAACCAAAAATTACCCAACATGAAAAGAACAGAAAAATGCAACCCATAAATAAGAAGAAAATCAGTTAATAAAAATAGCACAAATGAACTCATTAACAGGGACATTAAAACAGTGACATATGCACTCTGTGTTTACGAAAGTAGAATATTGAACATATTAAGAAGAGATATGAATGATGTAATGCAGACTGTAATTGAAATTCTGAAAATGAAAACTAAAATATCTGAGATGAAAAAATATATTAGATGGGATTAACAGCAGGAAAGATATTCTGGAAGAAGGGATTATTGAATTTAAAGATCTATGTCTATCTATATCTATCTATCTATATCTATATCTATATATCTTTATCTCTCTATATATATATAGAGAGAGATAGATAGATAAATATATATATGTGTGTGTGTGTGTGTGTATATATAGAGAGAGAGAGAGAGAGAGAGAGAGAGAGAGAGAGAGAGAGAGAGAGAGAGAAAGTTTATATAAAATAAAACTCAGAGAGAACCAAGAATGAATAAAAATGAAGAGAGTGTCAACGAACTGTTGAGGTAGCTTCAAGCAGCCAGAAATACTGCAATTGGAATCCCTAAGAAATGAGTAAAGACTGAAAAAGGTATTAAAGGAAAAAATGGCCAGATTGCTTCCAAATTTGATAAAAACTGTAATCCCACAGAAGAACTCCAAGCCGAAAAACCTTGAAGAATTATACCAAGGCAAATAATAACCAAATCATCCTATAAATTTAATGCACCCCCTATTCCCATCATGTTTTCCTCGGCTTTTTTTGCCGCTGTGACCAAAAGACCTGACAAGAACGATTAAAAGAAGAAAAGTTTATTTGGGGGTTCACTATGGTTTCCAGAGTTTCAGTCGTAGACAGCCGACTGTGTTCCTTGGGACCTGAGGTGAGACAGAACATCATGGCAGAGGGGTGTGGCAGAGGAAAGTATCTGGGATCATGGCACCAGGAAGCAGTAAGCAAGCCCCCTCCCCATGGGGACACAATATAAGCCCCAAAGTCACGCCCTCAGTGACCCACCTTCTCCAGCCACACCCCACCTGCCTATGGTTCCTACCTAATTGATTCCTGAGGGGATTAATACACTGATTGGGTGAAGGGTCTCATAACCCAAAAATTTCACCTCTAAACTTCCTTTCATTGTCTCACATGTGAGCTTTTGGGAGATGCCTCATATCTAAACTATAACACATTATAACATTGTTTGGGTAGGACTTGAAAAACTAATTTTAAGATTTATATAGAAATATAAAGAACCTAAAAGAGTTAAAATTAAGTATAACAAAGTTTGGCTCTGTTTTGACTGACTTCAAGTCCTGCTTTAAGGCTACATGAAACGAGACAACATAGTATGATGTAAAGATAGACATCTACATTATTAGAACACAATAAACATGACAGAAATAGATTTGCATATACATGGTCAATAGGTTTTTGACAAAAATGCTATAGATATGAAATGTCAAATAGACTTTTATAAAAACAAATTGCACTGGACAAAATGCATGCCTATATTTTTAAAAAGAAGAACCTTAACACTTACTTCACACCAAAACCCAATATTAACTTCAAATAGATCACAGTCTAAAATTCATTTGGAAGAATAAAAGACCCAGAATAGCCAAAGCATTTCTAAGTTTAAAAAAAAAAACCCTCAGTGCTATAGGTATCACAATACATGGCTTGAAATTCTCCCATAGAGCTATCATAACAAAAACTTCATGGAAAAAGCATAAAAATAGGCACATAGACCTATGGTGCAGAATAGAAGACATAGAGACAACCCCACACATCTATAGTCATCTGATCCTTGACAAAGTTACAAAAAACATACATTGCAGGAAAAAAAAAATCAGCCTTTTAAATAAATAGTGCTGAGAGAACTGGTTATCCATATCTAGAAGAATAAAACTGAACCCTTATCTCTCACACTACACAAAAATTAATTCAAAATGGATCAAAGACGTAGAATTTGTTTGCATTTCTCTAATTACTAGAGATGATGAACATTTTTCATATATTTGTTGATCAAATGTATATTTTCTTCCAGTAAGTGTCTGTTCAGTTCCTCAGCCCATTTATTGATTGGGTTGTTGTTTTGGATTTTTTTTTTTTTGGTGTTAAGTTTTTTGAGTCAGAATGGCAGTTATCAAGAATACAGACAACAATAAATGTTAGCAAGCATGTAGGGGAAAAGGCACACTCATTCATTGCTGGTGGGACTGCAAAATGGTGCAACCAATATGGAAAGCAGTATGGAAATGCCTTAGAAAACTTGAAATGGAACCACTCCTCAGTCTATACCCAAAGGACTTAAAATCAGCATACTATAGTAACACAGCCACATCAATGTTTATAGCAGCTCAATTCACAATAGCCAAACTGTGGAAGCAACCTAGATGCCCTTCAATAGATGAATGGATAAAGAAATTTTAGTGTATATACACAATGAAATATTACTCAGCATTAAAATAGAATAAAATTATGTCATTTTCAGGTAAATGGATAGAGATGGAGAATATCATGCCAAGTGAAGTAAGCCAATCCCCAAAAGCCAAAGGCCGAATGGATGCTGATCCATAATGGGGAGGGAGGAGGCATGTGAAAAATGAAGGAACTTTGGGCAAAGGGGAGGGAGGGTGAGGAGGGTGCATGGGGGCAGGAAAGATGGTAGAATGAAGTGTACATCATTATCCTAGGTCCATGTATGACTGCACATATAGTGCAACGGTACATCATGTACAATCATAGAAATATAAAGTTGTGCTGCAGTTGTGTACAATGAAACAAAATGCATTCTGCTGTCATACACACCTAATTAAGATAAATCAATTAATAAAAAAAGAAAAAGGTTCTAAAATTAAAAAAAAAGAAAAATCATAATTGTTGAATTGGACAAACCTAACAGGCACGGTCCCTAGCCACATTGCTTGTTGCTTAATTAAA